GATGTCCAAGTATCTTAAAAACCATAATAAATGTCTTTCTCAATGCATACAAAATGATAAATGCTCTCATCACAGTCTTAAGGTATTTTTGGAAGTCTGTTTTGTCTTGCTTCAGAAACATTTAAAATGGATAAAATCAAAGGGTTTCATGGTACAATGAAACAGTAAACAGTGCTCAATTTACCGCTAATGTTGAAAAAAACCTAGATTCCAGTACTCTGGTATATGTGAAAGTTTTTTTGAATTTACATTGCATATTTCTGAGTCCATTCTCTTGCGTGTCTGTTCTATTTTTCTTTGCCTGATTTATAGATTTGTTCAATATCTGGTACTAAGGGGTCATCTGGGTTAGGATCACAAAGCAGAGAACATATGGACAATAAAACTTTTGATACAGTCAAGGCTGGTGACCACTGAGACCTCAGGATGTCAAGACAAATACTTCTATTACTGTTTATTTTTGGATGGTAAATTTTTGTAGTGAAAGCAATCTTTGGTGGTTTAAAAGGATAGTCTGTCGGAAAATGCACAGTGAGAAAGAAGACACCACCTTGATGTGCGCTATCAGGAGGTCCCATAACAGTTGCTTGCCAGTGGAACAAGTCATCTCCCACGGGTCCAGCTGAACAGTGAGCCGGTGGACCACGTTGTAGATCACTTAATTCTTTCTGAGTCCGCTTCAGCGCCATCGGTCAGGAAGGGCGGCGGGGACACGGGGCGGCTGCGGGGCGTTGCGGGCTCGGCTCTCTGGCTGCTGTGCAGGCTCAGCCCAGTGGGTCCCCGGCTCGCCGTTCGCTGGCTCGCTCCGGGCGGGCTCCGGTGCTGCTCCGTGCGCGCCCGATGCGCGAGTGTCGTCACCGAACATTTTTGTAGAAACAGTTACATGATACAGGTTGCTCAGAGTGGCATATTTAGGGTCCTATAAACAGCCCGTAGGAAGGAGTCCGGATTTTCTTCTATGTGCAATGGGCAAGATGCAACCTGACTCACATTTTTTAAACGAGTCTTTGGTTGTATTTAAAGAATGGATTAGAATGGAGCAAGAGTGGTGAGATAATGCTGTCTATTTATATTAGCTAGATTAGCACATTCTGGTTGAATGCTTAAAGGAGCACCTCTGAAACTTTTTGGTACCAGAACCCCTTTAATTTCTTACAAATTACTGAAGACTCCAAGGAACTTTTTAAAACATACATAGATTAGGTCTACTGATATTCACTATATTCAAATGAAAACTGAGGAAAATTATTTATTCGAAAATAAATATGAAGGCTGGGGAATGCAGCCAGATGGCAGAGCACTTGCCCATCATGGACAAGGCCTTGAGTTTGATCCCCAGAACCAACAAAAGAAAAATACAAACATCTATTATGAATTAACATACTTCTCGTCAAAAATAACTATACTTTCAAAAACAAAAACAAAAAATTCAATGAAAAAAGTGGTGTGTTTTTGTATTGCTTTTTTTGGCAGTACTGGAGTTTGAACTCAGGCCCCATGCTTGCTAGGCCTTCTTACCTCTTGAGCCATTCTGACAGTTTTTTTGGGTTGGGTATTTTTGAGATAGGATCTCAAGAACGGTTTGCTCAGAGCTAGCTTTAAACCATTTTGAATGGGTGATCTTCCCATTCAAAAGTAGCTAGGATTATAGGCGTGAGCCACAGCTGCCCAGTTTTTGTTTTTTGAGAATCTCTCTAAGTAGCCTGGACTGGCCTGTGCTACCACGTCCTGTTATAGTTCTTTCTTTTTTTAAATTTTTTGTTTTTTGATGGCACTGAGGTTTGCACTCAGGGCCTCAAGCTTGCTAGGTAGGTGCTCTACCACTTGAGCCACTCAGCCAGCCCTTCTTTGTGATGGACTTTTTTTGGAAATAGGGTCTCAAAACTATTTGCCTGGGGCTAACTTTGATCCTCTTGATCTCTGCCTCCTGAGTAGCTAGGATTATAGGCACAAGCCTGTGCACTTGGCTCTGTGGTATTACTTTCTAACTTTGCAACTCTCTTTAATATCTGGCTTAACAGAAGAGAAATGGCCTGTTTGTTCTGCTTGGGCGTTGTAAAGTCACATGTCCTATAGGGCTAGAGAAAACTCCAATGTACTGTGTCATGAGAGGAAGAGAGTAAATAAAGGAGGCAAATAGTGTGTTAGTGCTACCGAAAAAAATAATTTGTGGGGGAAGGTGGAGGCACATGGAAATATAATGGAGGGGGTAAACTTGTTCAAAATACACTGTATGGAATTATCACAATGAAATCCCCTTATATTATTAATGTATGCTAATTTCTTTTTAAAAAGAAAGAAAGAAATATTTTTACCCTGAGGGCCACAGAAAAGGGTGCCAGGTACCTAGTAGTACTAAGAGAGAGAGAAAAAGAGAGAGAGAGAGAGATGCTGACTTGTCAAATTCAACCGTGGTTTCCAGAGATTTTGAAAAAAGAGCTTTTTTTGGGACCCCAGCCTGCCTGATATTTTGATGCTGTTGTCTATATTCCTTGATGGTTTTGGGAGGAAGGTTAAGCACTCACAGAAGTGCATCCTGGATTCAGGCTGCCACTGCTTGGTCACTGGCAGTTATTCCATATTGAAATAATGTCCTTCTGGAATAAGACAGACCACAGCCCCACAGATCTCTTCCCCAAGCAAGAACTGCAACCCAACGTGGCCAGCATGAGATTCTCCTAGCAATGGAAGCCAAGCCCTTCCACAACCCAATAATCCACATCATCATTTTTACTCTCATCATCCTCTCATGTGGGTTTAATTCCTTCTTAGAAGAGAGATGGAAGTCATGGTGCCTGTCATGTTCCTGGGACACACACCATGTAGTTATAAAACTTCCAGAAATGCTCCACAGAGGCAAAGGTGCCAATCTGTTATTCTGTGGACAGCTCTGTGAGCTGAGGGCACATCAGAGGGTCCACCTGGCACACCAGAAAGCATTGCTGAACTCAGGGATGCTCTTCTGGTTCGGGGGCACTGCTGCTCTAACTCGGCTCACTCCATTGTTCCTCCCCACCACCTTTCTGTGTGCTGTTTTCTTCATTCTGACGGCTGTCTGGTGTTGAATTACATGTATCCCCTCGTTACTGTTGCTTCCCCACAGGATCACTTTGCTTGCCCACTTCCCTCTCTGGACTGTGAGTTCATCTTGTGTCTCTAGTAAGCAGAAGAAAAACCTGGCAATGAGTAAACACATCCATAAATCTGTCACATGAACAACTTCTGAAAACTTGGTAAGGCAGCTTTATGAATTTAGAACTAGTGAAACAGAAATGAAGCTAAGGGAATGAGGTAGTGAAAAAAAAAAGCAGTATATCAAGCGGAAACAATAAACTAGAATCCTAAAAGAGACAATTTTAGGATGTAATTTTAAAGTAGGCCATATGACTTTTTAGTCTGATCAGACTTAAGTCTGTAATACTTCTGAAAAATCACTTTTTGCCCTGCTTAATTTAGCACATATATGAATCACCCACACGGTGACTAATCACCTGCTAAAGATACTGCATCTGGATCACAAGATGGGAACAAATGTTCCAAGACTGGAAAAAATGTAAAAAACATATTGTGACTATACACCATTAGTTATACTGGTTTGTTACATTCTAGAAAGCACTAGAGAGGAAGTGTACATCATAATTACAAAGCACAAGCTGTAGAATTAATAAAGCACCTGCCCTCCCTGCTGTCATATCAAACATAATAAGCATACTAAGGCGATCATTGAGAGTTTCCTGCACTGCCTCTAGGGAGAGACTGATAATGGGGAGCAGCCAGAGGTGGGGCTCCTGCTCTGTCTTCATGAGCATCATGGCCAAAGAGAATAGTCCTAGAGGAGACATACAGCACCTAATTAGCATTTACTGACCATCTTCTACCAGGCTCTTCACAGGTGCCTTGTATACATCAGCCACCTCATTTAGTCCAGCTGCCCTCACTAGGTCCAATCATGATCAGCGAACAAAAATCAATTTTGATGCCCATTGCATTCATTCAACAAATGATTTTTTTTTTTTGGCAGCACTGGGGTTTGAACTCAAGGCCTATACCTTGAGCCACCCTGCCAGCATTTTTGTGATTTTTTTTTTTTTCTAGATAGGGTCTCTTGAACTATTTGCCCAGGCTGGCTTAGAAACATGATCCTCCTGATCTCTGACTCCTGGGTAGCTAGGATTACAGACATGAGCCACTGGAACCCAGCCAACAAATTTTCACTGAATATCTACAGTTGGGGTCCAGGAGAACAAATTAACGGATCTATCTTGCTCACTTTTGTATCTCAGGGTGTTAACAGTGTTTGGCAAACATAAGACCATTTGACTGGGTCTCCTAAACCTCTCAAGTTTATCCACTTCTCTTTCTGTGCCCTTCCACCAGCCTAGTCCAAGGCTCCTACAGGCAACCCTGCAGCCATTCTCGCTCTAATTCAGGATTTCTCAACCTTTGTAACACTGATATTTGGGCCTGATGACTCTGTGTGGTGTGGCTGTCCTATGCATCACAGAAAGTTTAGCAGTCGTCCTGACTTCCATTTTACTAGCTGCCAGTACAAAATAACCTATAATGGTACTCCACTGTTCTCAGACAAACACCAAAGTCCCCCAAACATCTACTCTACCAGGTGCTGGGGAAAGGGCACTGCCAACTACACCAATTACCCTTAGATCCACTTTTTCGTGCTATCTCCCCCTACAATGGCATTTGTTTACCTTCTCAAGTGTTCCCCCAACTTCAAGGCCCTCACTCTGTTTCCTTGGCAGAGACAGGGCATAGTTTCTCAAACTTCAACCTTCAATGATGGCACACTATGAAATGTCTGTGTGTGTAGTGGCGGGCGGGGGGAACTGTGCAAATCACCACCAACTGAGAACCACTTCCAGGAGCAGACCTGCCCTAATCCGCCCTCTGCCTGGTCCAGGAGATCAGAGGGTGCTTTTCAGAAGCAGCTGGCATTCTGTAACTGCAGCTCCACCTCATCTAAGGACAAGGGTGGAAATCTCTTTCCCACCCCCTCAGGTCCAGGAAAAGGGCTCCACAGGATCACCAAAGGAACTCACTGTGGCTTCATGGAGTGGTGAGCACCATGCTTGTCTCACATCTGGGAAATAGAAAGGGCTGGTTGACTAACTGCTCTGCGGACAAGAGCAGTGCTCACTACATGGAATCAACTCACACTCCCTAGCTGGAAGAAAGAATGGAGTACTGTGTAACAGATTGTAGATAAAGCCCAGGACCTCCATGACAGGAAGTTCTGGTGTCATCAGATTCCAGGGACTCCAGAAGGAGTAAGTGGCCAGTTTAAATGAAGAAGCATTTGGTCTCACCAGGGTAGAGCAAGTGATGGTTCTAGGCTTGGTGGTGGGTGTGGTCTCTGATGGATAGCCCTTTGAAAGCACTCAGGAAAGAACAAGCTTTGACACTTGTAAATTCCAGACAGCTCCCACACCTGTGTAGGAAGACCTTCCTGCTCTCATTTCCTTGCCGGCTTCTGCATGCTTACAGGGGTCAGAAATAGGGGCGAGGAGAGAGAAGTCCATGTGCCATGCTCCTCTCATCAACTGTGGACTTTCTGCCTGGCACAGGCCAGAGCTAGAGGGGGCAAGAGGCTTCAACTTTAGCTCTGAACTCTGTTCTGCCTTGAGACTCACCAACCACTCTAATTGCCAAAGTGACGTTTTGCTTCGTGATCTCAAGTGACCACGGGAGATTTTATCA